AATGCTTTTGTTCTTATTGACTCAAAGTGACCATTATTTAAGGTAATTTCTTTGGGTTCAGCCACAAATGTAGAAGTATTGCCCATATATGACTTATTATTAACATGTGCATTTAAGTTCCAAGGAAAGAAAAGACTTTAGGGGATGTCATTAATCCTTTATATTTCATAGTCACATGATTTCAAGCAAACTTGGAAGTTCTAGGTATCTTGTGAGAGACTATGTTCTGATTCTGGCGGAATTCTGAACCCAGTGAAAACAGAGGAAGCCTCAGAACTGTGGCTCTTAAGAGGGCGTAGAGGCAGATTTCTGTGTCAAGTAGGCTGCAAACCTCCCCCAGGGCTAAGAACCCAACTTGGCCATCTGTGTGTCCACAGAACCCCAAACTCAATAAGTGTGTGGTGAATGCATGAACAGCTGCTCAGCAGACTGCCATCTGAAGTCTCACTAGTGTGGGAGAGACATAGTGGGATGAAAAATGGTAAAGAGCAACACAGAAGAGGAAGACAACAAGGTGTACCATTAGCTTATGGTTGGAGTTAAGTATTCAGAAAGAAACCAAGATGCTACTCAGAAAGTTGTGGCTTTTCTATGGAACCAGAATGACCCACAGCTAGAGGAGCAGAGAGGAGAGGGAATGTACAACCAAAGGAGAATGTCCATAGAGGCACTTTTTTTCTGGACAAGACAACCTGTCATCACATCTGAACAGTCTTGTTAACACTCTAATTATGTTATTTCAAGTGACATAAAAATCAATTTTCAAATTCAAATATAAAACTGTGTTTCCATACTTAGTAAAACACACAAGAGACAAACACATGTCAGGTTATGAAAGTAATCCAAAGGATTATGTTTATTGGCATTGGTTGGCTTTATGCATGCATCTCTACTTGTCTACCTATGGTTTGTATATGTCAGTTTCTTTTTGTCAAACAGTTGTCCAGAAAACGTGATCGTGAATGAAATTAGCTTTGTGACCATTTTAGCTAATGCTGTATGTTTCAGGGTTTGATTTCATATGTGTGATTTTCTTTCTAATTAATACTATTATTTATTTTCATTTTACTGGAGAGAGAGAGAGAGAGAGAGAGACAGCTATTTTATTTCTGATTTGATTCTCACATACCCACAAAAGCCTGGGGGAACAAAGTTGAAATCAGGAGCCTGGAACTCACTAGGGGTCTCCCATGCAGATACCAGCTGCCCAAACTCACAAGCCATAATTTTTTTGCCTCCCAGAGTGTGCATTAACATAAAGTGGAGCTCAGAGAGGAACCCCAGCATTCCAAAATGGTGTGCAGGTGTCCCTCACAGATTCATCCTGCAAGGCCTGCACCGTCAGGGAGAATGGGACGATGGTGTTCTTCCACAAGAAGCACTGGGCACAGGCTCCGGTGAACATGTCCGCTTTAATTAATGACCACATACACTTTTAAAGGGCATAACTAATTCAGGGCAATATAACTCTATAGGACAGAACTGACACTGGCTCCAATATGCCTCTCCAATCAGCTTGAAGGTCACATAGCTAGGGTAGCTTTCCAGGTGGGCCTGGGCCCCACCTCGGGAGCAGTTTACCTGATTGGCAGAAGGCAAGGGTAATTGGCAGAAGGGGGGGAAATGTTCCTAGGGCTGCCACCACCTGTCATTAGTCAGGCTAGCTGCATGGGCTAGGCAGGCAAACTCACGGGATCACTCACAGTATCTCAACTGCTATGCCAACTGCCCAACTCCAATATGGAAGAATATTTGTGCAAAGAAGTTTCATGTGAACTTTAAGTATTCATAAAAGTTTGCTTTGGGGGCATGGAGAGTATTGTGTGAGGCTCTGAGGAATCTCTGACTAATGCTTCCTGGAGTGAGGGTTTTCTCGGGCATGAATGCATTGCACTTTACATTTCTTTTCTATTTAGTTGTACACATGAAGATTTTGGCCTATGGATATGGGTAGGATTTTGGTTGGAGGTAAAGGAAAAGGGAATGATGCAGAAACAGATGAAATGTGTGCAATTTTTTTCTTGTCTCATTTGAATTTTTTTCGGCATATGGTTTAGATCTTTATCCTTCAGAGTAAATAGTGGGGCGATTTGTTGCCTACATATCCAGTTGTATTTTCTATTTTCCTTTTTCTTTAAAATATCATTCAAAAAATATCTTAACCAGTAAATTTTCAACTCCGCTTTCTCTGTATCTGTAATGTTTCTTGATTGACACATCAGAATGAGGCAAAAGATATAACCTTTTTGTAAGGTCTAAAGGCTGAATCCCAAGTGTTTATTTATAGAGTCCAGATCAGTTTCCTTGCCTTCCACTAGTGCCTAAAATGCCTCACCTTTCCTTATAAACTTACAAGTCATTTCTGCTCATGTGTGTGTGTGTACATAATTATGGCATACATATCATTATATATTACCTATATATTATACATGTAAACTTGTAGTGGCAAGGACGATTAACATGAGATTTACTCTCGTACATCTTTCTGCATAAAAACCATTATTGTTGACAATAGGTACAATGTTCTAGAGCAGAACTCTAGATTTCTACAGTTTATCTGTTTATCCAAAACCTTTAAAAATAACTTTTATTGAAAAGAACAGAATTGAAAATTATTTTGTGAGAGAGAAAGAGATAGAAACAGTGAACCCATTCCCTGGTTCCCTCCCTGAATGCCCATAGTGGCATGGACTGGCCAGTCTGAGAGCCCTGAGCGTCAGGAATGCAATCCAAACTTCCACATGGTGGCAGGGACACAGTTGCTTCCGTGATCATTGCTGCTTTCCAGTTTGCGTATCAGCAGGAAGCTGGAATTTGGAGTAGAGCAAGAATCTGAACTAGGTACTACAGTATGGGACTCAGGGGTCTTAACCCTGGGGCTTAACTGCTCGGCCAAGTATCTGCTTTCTGACTCAAACTTTGTACCTGTTGATATAGCAACTTCCCATTCATTCCTCCCCCAGCCCCATTCTTTAATTCTCTAAGTCTGACTACTTTATATTTTAAGTACTCCACGTAAGCGGAATCATGCATTACTGGCTACCTTATCTTATCCAGCGTGCCGCCTTTAAGGGTCATTCATGTTATTATTCCTCAGCATAATTTGTTATAAGTGCTTGTAAAGCCTATTATGATGAGAAATCTTGAGGGTGGGGATTGTGGTGGCTTGAGCCACTGCTTGCATCCCATATTGTAGTGCCAGTTTGGGTCCTGGCTACTCTGCTTCTCATTCAGCTCCTTGGTAATGAGACAGGCAAGCAGAGGTGGCCCAAATATCTGAGTTCCTGCCTCCCACATGGGAGATTTGGGTGGAGTTCTTGTCTCCTGCCTTTGGTCTCGCTCAGCCCTAGCTATTGTGGCCATCTGGGGAGTGAACCAGCAGGTGGAAGAAATTTCCTCCTCTCTCTCTCTCTCTCTCCCCCCTTTCTGACTCTCAAACTCTATCACTCTTTAGAATCAATCAACCAATCCTTTTTAAAAGTATGAAAATGTCCACCCTAATGCATTCCAAAGATAAAATACGTCAGAGGATTCGTTGAATTTTAGTTCCTGCCTACTTGCGTATGAAAACAAAACAAAGCAAATCTTTCCCAGAATGAGTAGTTTCAAGACAGTTTTACAGGTAAGAACAGAAAGATGGCAAAACTGGAGCTGTCTCTGAAAAACAAGCTATAAATCCACCCTTAGCGTTGTTTGGGGAAAAATAAAGAGGTCACTAGTGTTTTCATTTAGCAACAAGTTAAATTTGCGCTCCTGGACATGCTAGTGTGTCACATGATCAGGTGTGAACGCTGAGGAATCGAAGTCTGAAAATTTCTGAAAGTATATTGCTGATATACTGTCCTTATCTAATTCCAAGTCGTGGCTCAACCTATTGACTTCATTATTCCACGTCATGAATGCCTGTGAAGAAAAATAAAAGCGCCTTTCCAGCATTGCCTTGCATTGCTTTGGAAGTCAGTGCTCTTCTCTCCCGCGCTTCTGCGCCTGCTTTAGCGGCTGTCACTGGCGCCCCCAAGCGCCGCGAGCCCGCGCAACCCAGTTCTTCTTGCAACCGCCTTCCACCTTTGCAGACGGGAGTCGGACCTGGGGAGCCTGCGCGGCTGACAGGAAAGACTTCCCTTAGAATTCCCTGGGGCCAGGAAGCAGGGAGAGCCTAAGAAGGCAGGACCTCAAAGTCTTCACGCCCCTGTTCATTCCAGTATGAGATTTCCTATTTGCAAAGGGGACAGTTGCCTGGCATGGTAAAGATGCCCAATGGAGCTATGAGGTCCAAGCCCTCGGAGCGCACCCAAGGGCACCTCCTTCCTGGCAATGCTTCGGAGACATAGACATATCCTAGGTGTGTGGCGGGGCTAGGGGTGGAGAAGGATGAGACGGAAAAGACCCAAACACCTTCCGAGGGTGAGAATCAGCTCGCTCACTTTCCCCTTTTGGCCATCTTTCCCCAAAGCTTCTAGGCGCCCTTAGGTGCACCTACACTGCGCTGCCTTCACGCCCTCGCCGGGAGGCACACGCAGAAAGCAACTCTAAGTCGCAGATGCTCATTTCTCCAAAGCATATAGCGAGCTTCTCCAGGGCTCCTCACCGAAGCAGGGGCGCAGGACAGATGGGAGGACCAAGGCAGAGCAGCGGCGGTCACACTGGGGCAGTTCGCCCCTATCCAGCTCCACTTTGGTCCTCGGATGCTTGCCAAGGCCCCTCTACTCCTGGGAGCTGTGGGCAGGAATTGGGAGTCCCCCACCTCTGCATTGTTCCTCTGGAGGTGAATCCCATTTTTCCATTCCTTTCGGAGTGGAGGAAGAGTGGGAGGGTGAGCAAGGGAAGAAGCAGGCGGGGGAGCTGGGAAGGAGAGGAGGGGGCGGGAGCGTGGCGGGTGAGAGAAACGTTTTCACTCTTTGTCACTGTTGAATTGGGGGCGGAGGAAAAAACCCACGGAGAGAAGCTATAAAAAGCAAGGAGGGCGGGGGGTGGGGGAGGAGAGAGCAAGAGCCCGCGCCGGGCGCAAGTCCGCTCCCAGGGCATCGCCGCGTCGCCGGCCGCGCACGGCTGCCCCGTGTGAACCAGGGGACAGCGCTTCGCGGCGACTGTGAGAGCGCGCGGTCAGCGCGGCTCGCCTCGCGACTCCAGGGTCGGGTACCGAGGAGGCTCCCGACCCCAATTTGCCGCTCCTGCAACCTTGAAAAAGGAGGACCTGTGTCATGCAAAAGTTGAAAATAAGGGTAGGAAAAGAGAGGAGAGAAAAGTAACTGAGACCGAAGGAGAAGGGACTGGTGCGGATCTCCTGTTCAATTAAGAGGAGCCTAGAGGCGCGGTGATCCGAGCGGGAGCACGGAGGTGCGCAGCGAGGAGCGACGCAAGCGGCGCGATTCGCCGGCTGGGTCTTCTTGCACCTTGGGTCACGCCTCCTTGGCGAGAAGGCGCCTCGCCTTTGATTGCTTCCAGTTACTGCAGAACTTCCTGCCCTGGTGGAGAAGCGGGTCTCGCTCGCTCCTGGCCTGAGGCTTGAGACTGAGTTCCCAAGGTCCTGAATCCCCGCACCAGGAAGGGTTGGGAGAACCAGTGTCTGCCAGCCCTCGCTCCCCAAGCGAGGGGCCCCGTGTTGGGGTCGTCCCTGCCCTTGACTCCGCATCCTCCTGAGCTTTGCGCCTCCCCGGGAACCCCTCGCCCGGAGATGGCCGGCAAGGACTCGTCCCGCTGCCTACTCCTACTGGCCGCGGTGCTGATGGTGGAGAGCTCACAGCTTGGCAACTCGCGGGCCAAACTCAACTCCATCAAGTCCTCTCTGGGCGGGGAGACGCCTGCCCAGGCAGCCAATCGATCTGCGGGCATTTACCAAGGACTGGCTTTCGGCGGCAGTAAGAAGGGCAAAAACCTGGGGCAGGTAGGAAAACCCTCCCAATACACTCCTCAGCCAGGAGAGCTAGGGACCTGCGCTCTTGGGCTCACCCTTTGCCCTGGCGCCCCGCAGCCATGGGAGCACAGCCCCAGGTGGGGCGCGCGCGGCCGCTGGGGAGGGGATCCCTGCAGCTGGGTGTGTGCGGGCAAGGGTGCCTGGGTGGCTGCCGGTCCTGCACTGCACGGAAAGGGCGGGTTAGTGCTGGCTCTCACCTGGGCTTTGGGACACGGGCACGTCTTGAGGGCGAGTGCGTTCCGGTGGCGGAAAGCAGCTAGGACAGTTCTTCCACAAAACGTGAAGATGCGGCCGATGGAGATGTTAACTTCAGCTAACACAGAGTGACTATTGTATCCCAGGGACTGCTCTAAGCGTCTTCCGTGTTCCCACGTTTAATCTCCCCAGCGCTCTACACTGGGCGCTTTCCCATTCTGCAAAGAAAGTAACGGAGGCACGCAGAAATTAGTGAGTGGCCCCGGCGAAGGGTCAGTGGCCGAGCGAGATTTCAGTGTGGATAGGGTCGGTCCAGGTCCTGGCGACCGTTATATTTTACTATTTGGAGGGGGATATTTACTCCTTCTCAGGTTTTCCTCTCCCAAGCACATTCTCCCTTCAAAGTAGAGACACAGAAAACCACTCCAAGAGACGCGCAGTTCTTACTTCTGTAGAAATGTAAATTAGTCTTCCACTAGGAAGCCAAATAATAAGGTGACAATGACAGTGACAGTATCCTAGGCACAGGTGATACAGCAGGGACGCCTGGGGCGTTTTTGCGAGGCGGAACTTTCCGCAGCCGTCTCTTATTGTCACGCAGGCAGATAGATTGACAGTCGCTTGCAAAGAGTTGCACAAACGCGCACACCGGAGCCAGGAGCGCGCGCTCTGGGCACCTACTGCAGGCTACTCGCCGCGACCAGGAGAGGGGGCTCTGCGGGCAATGGGAATCGCGAAAGCACCACCTTCCGCTCCTTTGGGGGGCAGCCCGAAGCGAAAGCATCCCGCAAGTGTCAGCCGACTATGGCGGCCCGTGCTCCCAGATCCGGAATTCTTTGTGTGTGTCTCTGTGTGCTTTTCTTCAAAGGAGCCTGAGGCTGAGAGTCTGAGGGCTCTGGACGTCTTGCGCCATCCCTGCCCACAGCGCTGGCAACAGGGAGCAGGTTGACAGCGAGGGCCAGTCCGGGAGAGAGCGCGAGGAAGACTCAGGCCCGAGCTCGGCCCCCTACTGCCCTCTCATGGGGACAGTTTTGCTAATTTTGCAGTTCGAGAAAGCTTCCCAGGGCTTTGAAATGTCATCTCATAGGATTGCAAAATCTAATTAGAGGATTTTTTTGAGGTTTTCAAGAAAAATAAACTAACTACATATGCGTGCATTGCACCTCCCGCGGACAGATGCACCTGCCTCTGAGCTTGTGTGACCACTTCACCCTCTTTGCCTGTCCCTAAGAGACGTCCTGACATAGTCTGTAGCAGTGTGGCAAGCAGGCTTTTCGCAGTCCATCATGATACGGGGTAAGGGTAAGCGAGAATGGGCTTTTATAGTAAGACTTTTATTTTTTTTTAATGCTATTGACTTCGAAATCCATGTTATCCACTTAACAGTCTTACTGTGCAGCCTGCCCAGGACACAGGGACCAACCCCATGATCATTCTAGGTTTCATTAGATTCTAATCCATGCTTGACCTGGGAGCTTCTGTAAAGCACTTCTGTATCTGTCACACCACTGGGCACAGACACCTGATGTTCCTCGGTGAGATTATCAGTTACATAAGCCCTGTCACCAGCCATGGCCTTGCAGAGTAGACTGAGGGATATTTCCCAAAGCCTGCTTTATGCTTTGATAGTACACCTGCACATAAACAGGTGCAAGGATGTATATTTATTTTACTACCTCTTCAAATATCTACTGAAGTATGTTTTTTTTAGAGTTTGCAACTCTGCTTGCATCACCTCAAACTGAAGATACATTTATTAAGAGATTAATTGAATTTCTGATATTACCTGTATAATTTAGCAGCTTTATAGTATATGTTTAAATCTATCTAATTAATTATAATACCAGGTCCTTAAGGTTTAACCTTAGGTTTGTGAGAAAAATGCAACATATTGGAGACAACGGTAAAAGAAAATGAAATGTGGGGTTGAATGGCAGGAGGACAGCTAGTTAATGAGAGGATTATATTTTGGATATTCTGGCTTCTCACTTGTTTAGCAGTGGATCTAAAATGTGTACTTTTATGAGGAAACAAGTAGTAAAAACATCTCTTTGAAACAAGAAAAGGAACTCTGAATAATTACGGGTTTCTTTATCTTCCTTATTCCGCTAGTTATGTGGTCACTGAAATTCTCAGTATTCTTATTTTCCAAGACAGGATGGAAAATAGAAAGACTACTCAAGATGAAAGCTATCACTTCCTTTTACAGAGAAATTTCTAGAAGTGTAGCTGAGCTGAATTTTTATCCATCACAGTAGAAAAATGCAATTGAAATGATTGGAAGTGAAGTACCAGCTGGTCAAAGTGGCTAAGGATGCAATGTCCTTCAGATGCCTAATGTGTTTGATTTTCCCCTACCTCTTATCTCGATTGAAGATATTAAAATATCCCACCTTTCAGAGACATAGGATAAGAGACTGCAGGATGCAACTTCAAATAGATGCATGAAAAACTTACTTTTTATTGAATAAAAATTTAGTAATTGTCTATTTTAATTTTCAAAATAGAAGTTTAAATAAAATTTTATTGTCGTTGCAGAAGCAATTGTTGAAATAATTTAATCATTCATTAATCTACAAAGTGAAATTTAGACTAAACAGGCTCCAAGGTTTTCTCGATTCGACCTAGCCTGATTTCATGTGAAGAGAAACACACTTATTTGTAGGAATTTTACTTGTTTTATAGGCAAGGTAGAGTGTTAATAACATCACTCTAGAGAGTGTACTCTTGAATGCTAGGAGAGATTTAGAGGGCCCAGAGAGAGAAAACTGTGTTCTGGAGGTGTTAACCATTCTGATTCTTAGGTTGGCTTTCAAAGACACAACTATGGCTCAGGATGGAAACTGACATGGAAATTTGAGAGTGGTGATACTCAGTTGTTTGATACAGAATTAACAAAAATTTTTGCTGAGTTATTCACCATAAAGTTTTAATTTGGCTTTATATTTGCAACTATTGCAAATCAGTTTTAAAAGGTGGCCCATGTGTATCTATGGGGTAAATTAAATTGCACGACCGTCACTAATATATATGTATACTTCAGTTCCCAAGGACACTATTTCAAATGTCTGCAATTAAAAGCAATTTTAAACACAACCTTCAACATCCTGTGGATAAATGTATTTCGATTAAGTGTGCCTTTGCTAGCATCTCTCTGGAGTTTGAGGTATCAATTTTCATTTGCCACCTTGAAAACAAATTTAAAAAATCCAGCAATTAAAATAAATTTTTATTTACTATTCACTGTTTCTGTGTAAATGAGAAACATTTAGATTTGTGTTTGTAATTCTTTTTTATTCTTTACTTCTTTGTCATTTTTAGATTAGCAGATTTTAATTTGAATGCAATGCTGTAGTATTTTCAAATTTTTTAAGTGATGGATAGAACATGGCAAATGATTGTATTTTAAAGTAGACAAGCCCCTTGGAAGGTGTCTCTAAAAGGACACTCAAACCTGCTTAGCATCAATGCAGATTCATGGTTTTCTAATATAAGGCGGGTACTTATTTTAGAGGACAGGTTTGGATGTAGTCAGGTTTTATGAAAAGAGTACTTGAAATACAATGAGTCAGAAGCTTGAGGGAGTGGGTTTGAGAGTACTAAAATTTGTAGATTGAATTTTTTTTGTACATAGGAACATCCATGGAAGTGCTCACTGAAATAAATTATATACTTTATTTTCTGCAGGGTATCTTTTATTTTTGAAATTATCCATCACTTTTTATTTATTTATTTATTTTTGGTAAAACCCCAACCCAACCTAACCTTCGAATGAGAGTGAACAATCCACTATCTTCTCTGGACATTAACTGATGCCTAACATAATCAGGAATGCAAACCATTTTTTGGATGAAGTTTTCCAAATAATTTAAAAGATTTTGAAACAATTTACAAGACAATTCCTTTCCTTTCACTATGAATCATAAAGGATTGACAATTGATATAAGTGAAAGGTTACCTTGTGAATAACAAGATAAGTATTTTAATGATAAGCTAAGTTTGAGCATTCAGCATTTTATTTTCATCCTCGACTAGAGAGCGCAAGAGGACAAGTTTGCTTAAATTCACTGCAGCTGTGACTCTGACCCTGCCATAGTCTTCTTTAAGTCCCCTCTGTACAAACTTTTGCCTCCTCTCGTCCTTCCCAGGATGTCTCAAGCAGTACAGCTTTTAGAGTACATAACGCAAGGGCATTAAAGTGTGATTGGCATGTTCTGTTCTAAGACAATATTGGCGCTTCCTCTTCTTTTTTCTGCACTGTCATTTTGCTGCACATTAAAAATATTTTGTTAAATTTTCTTGGAAATTTACATGTATTTGCCATTTTCAGATGCAGGCTGTTCATCCTTTGGCATTGAGGTGACATCAAAATGAATTACAATCTTATTTTTACCCATGACTTCCTGACTCCCAGTTAAGTTGTTTTATTGCATTATACTGCTAGTCACTTGTGATCATCTATAAAAAGGAGATAAACCTGCTTCTTGTTATTTATCTGACCATTGAAAAGATTTATGGGCTACTTATGTCTGTATGAGCCTCTTATTAAGTCATTTAAAAATTCTGAAGCAAAACCCAAAAGGAAATAAGATAAATCATAATTAATAGATTAACTTTTGTGTTGTATATAATTGCTTTAATATTACATAGAAAGATTAAATATGAATGCAAAAAAAATAGTATTGCTGTTTAAGGTTAGCTAAGGTCAATTTTCTTTTCCTCATCTTTCTGTTCTTGCCAGGAACAAGGGGAGAATGTCATATTTTTCTCTTAGT